CAAGCGCTAGCCAATCAAACCGCGTGCAAGCTGGGAGAGCCAGACCGCAGTTCATTTCCTCATATTCCAAACGAGAAATTACGGTAGCAAATCACCCGGTTCTTTACGACCAGAACTATTTACCGGGATACAAACCGGAGGAACCAGGCATGGAGGGAGGTGGCAGAGACAGTGGGTGAAACTGGTAGGTTTTCGCCTGTTTGGGGAGTTTAAATCCAGTTTACTTTGTTTTAACATTGCTATTGCTTTGTATGTCGGGGGCGGGAGATTCATGTGATTGGTTGTTGGTCGCAAAAAATCGCCAAGCTTCAGACACGCCCAGCATCAAGATTTTTTTCATGCCTGTGTGTGGACGGGCCGTAAAGGATACAAAGTTACTGCACACTCCCAATTACTTGTCTAAATGTAGCTTTCCAATAGCGCGCCGCCAACAGTGTGCAGCTACCGTAGAGATACTTTCTTGAGTACACAACATCAGCTAATCCTTTTAATATTAAATTGTCTAACTTACTGTTTGCAAACAACTTCATCAGGTCACACTACAAAGCAAACAATGCAAAGGCAATGTATTGTAGCTAAGTAACAGCTATCTGGCTTAGCTTGCTAACGTTATCACTAGTGAAATACTATTTGAGTGTTTTGTGTAGCTTGCTAACGTTATCACTAGTGAAATACTATTTGAGTGTTTTGTGTAGCTTGCTAACCTTATCACTAGTGAAATACTATTTGAGTGTTTTGTGTAGCTTGCGAAACAACTTCACAGCTAACATGACCCATGACAGGTATTGATTTTACAAAAGGTGTACAACTAACAATTGTTTTCTAGTCAAGAGGAAGTCAACTAGCTAACTGTAACCATAGCTAAGCAAAGTTAGCTGAAACTTAGCTACATGGAATAGATCTGCATTATCTAATCCATTATTCACAAATAATTTGCAAACAGTAAGCTAGTTAGAACAATTGAGCCAATACTTCAAATAAAATGAAGTAATATTACGAACAAAAATAATATTCTCAATAAAGGATTATGATGTAATGTCACATCAGTGTTTTGGCCAGTACCCAAGTGTGCTCAGAAATCTTACTGCAGGTCCTAAAAGGCCACTGGTTTCACTAATAAGGATTTTCTGAAAGTACAACATGCGCTACATGTAACACTGAACATGGGGGTAATGGGATGAAGTACATATGGGACCCATATTAGCAGTCAACAAGCTAGTAGGGGTCTTTAACACACCTCGGCAGGGACTTCAGGCTCGGGTGGAGGTGCCAGCTAATTGGAAATAAAAGGATGATGATAGTCAGAGTTTGAAGATGTTGAATTAGTCATGTTGCTTACTCTTCCAATGAATAGTAACTTCCTTAAAAACAAACCTCTTGTCCCTAAATGGTCCCTATTTTCTCATGTAACTTTCTATGTGTGGCTTTCTGATGCTCGCTAAGATTGCCAGTCACATGCACAACTGCACATGTGTGTGTGACTTAAAGAGCCAGGGGGGGACAGAAAAAGTACAAAAACATGTTGATTTCCAAGACCTTGTGGATAATGGATTGCTTACAGTGTGTAGACAATGGTTTTATTTCAGCGTCTCTTTTTTTTATGGAGCTCGTCTAATTGGACAGCATGGATGATGAGCAGCGTTAACCTTTAGTAGCAAGAAAGCAGAACCACTGTTTTGACCTTCACCACACTATAGGCTTTTGACTACAATGCTACACTGTGTTTAGTAATCTGTGGTTCACTATTAACATCCTGTTGCAAAGCTTGGCGGTCTGTCACTCTGCAATGACAAGAAAATGCACACTCATCGGTATGCTGATATGTACATTTATCTCTGTGTGCATGTTGGTTGATCTTAAGGAAACACCAGAGTTCATTTTGATCAAGCAGATTATGGGCACTCATAAGGGTTCAAACTGTAAACAAAAGAAAGTATAAGTACATTGTATCCTTGTACGATATGAGCGGCAATGGGTTATACAACTGAATGATTGTCAGTACATTTGCTCAACAACTGGAACAAATAAACAATAAACCTATTTAGTAAAAATAGGTTGAACTTTAAATATTTAACTGTGTGGATTGTAGGTAATGGCAAGACTGTTATATAGTATAAACTAATTTTTTTTCAATTATAATAATCAAGCATAAATTAAAAAACATAATTTACAGATTGAGTTAATTAAATATAAAATAAAATTGGATGATTGCCTATACATTCAGATTACAGTTAATGCAGTTTATAGAAATCCTTAATATAAACACACACACAAAATAAAACCTCACTAGTCTAGACTCTAGAGATATCATCTATTGTCACAAACTAAATAACAAACATGCAACCTCAATTGGACATACGCGACGTCTCCCTCTGAAACCCAGTCATGATGGTTTATGCTGATTCATTGTGCAACTGGACAGGAATTTCCCTCCATCAAGCCCACTTTACGTCAACACAGATTTCCACAGAAAAAAGGTGATGTGAGAATGTTTCATGCATGCAACCAAAAGCTATTTTTGACACCGCCGCTATCCTCAGCTAATTCAGTTAAAAATGGAACCCATGGTGGAAAAAAAATAAGGGCAATATGTGAAACCTGATCTAATTAGCTCTGTTAACCACTGTCAACAGCTTGCTTGTGCTCCTTTTGGCCGCTTAAACAACGTGCATCAGCTGGATGGCTTAACCTAAAAACTGTCAGCAACAGTTCCACTGGTTTTGCTTTCCCAGAATGTGTGATAAAACCTCCAAGGTCATGTAAACACAGTGGGATTCAGGGCATTTGCGGAAAAACAGTTGGCAGTTCAGGTCATATTATCTCACTGACCAGAAGAATCTGTATAATCATCAGGGGATGTTGCACTTTCCTCAGGGAGCTCCTCTGTTTACATTGTGATTACTGAGAGCCTTAACTCATATCCCAAAACAGACACACTGCTTCACCTCACCTCACTGAGAAGTCATAGCAGGAATGGACTGTTCATAATCAGTCAAACCTCGCGGGAAAGGGCTAGTTTTGTATACCACTCTGCTGACAGTATAACATTGGCCTGTGACAGAAGCAGACCTAAACAATTAACAGCTGGTATGTTTGCTGAGGTGCCCACACACACCACCCAAAATAAACCCCCAACTTTCCCATGCCTAAGTTGAAGTCCACCATGCTACCGTCTCCTGGAAGATATCTCAGCTGCACTTTTATAGCCAATAACCACTGAACGTTACACATCAGTGGAGAGTTTAAAATTCCAGGAAAACGGAGAAGGGGAAAAAAAAAAAAGGGGGAAACAAAATCTTTGGCTCTTATGTAACTGCTTCCTGAGAGCTGGCTGGAGCCCAAGAATCGTGCAGCATTAAGTGAAGGAAACTGGGACAGCGCTGTGTGTTGGTGAGGCGCATCGGCAGCTCCCCCTGTTGATCGGGAAAGGAAACAACAGCTCAGAGTCTCCTGGCTTCAACCACAGGAGGATAAACCGGGACAAGCAGAGTCTATCCGAGGGCAGGTTGGCAGAGTGAGTGATGGGAGTGGCAGCTGGATATGTTGTGTACTGGCGATGGTTAGAGAAGGCCAGAAAGTAGAAGAGAAAAATGGCTCTAGGAATAATATGTGTCAAAGGAGCGGTGTGCGGATGTGGTCAGAAATATGCACAAGAGGAACTGGTTATCTAGGCATCTCCAGTTAAACAAATAATACGTGGTCGGGATAATGAGTAGATAAACACAGATAGAGGGAGAGCTTGTGAAACACACAGGCATAGAAATAGCCCCTTATATAACGGTGACTGCATGTATGTGTTACGTGCTCAGCAAGCAGCATTACATTGTGAGAACATGGGGCATCATCTCCATCTGACCCCTGCGACCTCCTGTCTTCTCACAAACAACGGATCTCACATCCACGTGAAGAAAACACACTAACACATGCAGCGAGTGATATGATCAGGCCTGACAACGAGGGTGGCAGGCCGGGTCGTGCCTTGTTTTCCCCGGGCTCGCATTTTATCGCGCTTCTATTTCTGGAGGAATGAGATAACCTCTGCTAATGGGACTGTGGGACACACACACACACACACACACACACACACACACACACACACACACACACACACACACACACACACACACACACACACACACACACACACACACACACACACACAATGATGGGGTCTGTCAAAGAGTAGTGAAACTGACAGCTGCACTCATTCCTTGAGACCTTTGAGTGGGTGTGTTATGGTGGGTCAGGGAGCAGCAGCAGGCTAAATGCTGGGGTTACATAACAGCTATCATAGCAGTTTATCTTGGAGGAAGTTGAGGTTTTGGCCTGCCTGTGTGTCTCTCTGTTTGTCTGTCAGGGGAACTGTAATGTGCGCTGCTGTTAATATAAGTTGGAATGAGTGACATGCAGCATGTGCTGGGGAGGCGAGCGAGGGAGTATGTGTAAATACTTAGGATGCATATGGGAGGGGTTGGCGAGACAAAGAGCTGGTCTCTGAGAACAGCCCTGTTTTTGTGGAATCTGGGGATTTCCATCGCTACAGCATTTTTAAAAAGGGGGAGGGAAGGAGGGAGAATGAGACCGAGAGACATAATAGAGAAACTGAGAGCATATCGCTTCCTGGCAACTCTGGAAAGACCCTTTTCCGACAATTTCCACATTTCCAGAACCAGCATCGTGTTGACTTCCCTCGCACTCACCATGCTTTTGTTTAAGTGTTCCGTCTCCTGCTGGTACAGATTCTCCTGGTCTGACAATACGTGCTTTTAGTTTCGATCTATTTACTGATTTACTATCAAGAACACTTTACAGTTAGCAAAAGAATCCCAACACAATGTCCACAAACTTTTTTCCGAGTATTTAACCATATTAAATATCTGTCGTCATCGAGATGAATCTGTTCACATGCTTCCTCACTAGTTGTTTCCATAGCTTCTCTGAGTTCTCATCTAAAAACCTAGAATTGGTCTAAAGGCTAGTGGCTATCTTAAAGGGGTCCTATTATGTTAATGTTCAGGTTTCATATTTGTATTTAGTGTCTCTACTGTCACATGTTTACATTCTTTAATGTTCAAAAAGCCCTTTATCTTTCTCATACTGCCTGTGCTGCAGCACCTCTTTTCACCCTCTGTCTGAAACCAGAGCTCAGTCTGCTCTGATCGGTTAGCTCGCTGACCATGTTTTTATTTGTCAGTCGCTTAGAGATGTCCCGTACCCCCGCCTATCACGTACAATGTGTTTGAGCGCTAGCCAATAGAAGCGCAAGCTAAAGGTGAGTGGAATAACTAGTGGTATGAATAAAGAGAACTGAAGCTATTTAAATGAGGAAACGGAAGCATGGACAATTTATTTTAACATCTTTTGTGACTTTTACAGAACCCTAACAATTTGACTAAATCTACTGGTAGTTATAACGTTTTAATTAGCAATTGAAAAAATATAATTTTTCTAAACACAACCCCCCAACAAACTATGAATAGAAGTGTGTGGGATTTGTTCCATCCAATGGTATTTGTCACCATTGAGGCGTGAGATACGGTTCCTCTGCAGACACACCCAAAATCCCCTAACATCTCCTCCCTATCATAAACAGAAAACCGGTTTAATCCGCTTCTTTAAGGCCAGAAGTCATGGCCACACACATATTTTTGCAATGCTCCAACATGACATACACACCACTCCACACACTGCTCAGTGTGTTATGATCTGTTTGATGGAGAATCCCCAGCTATATATACACTCACACCTGCTCTTGTAATGGTGGCAAAGGGCCACCATCCATCATAAAAGGGGCTGTGTGGCATGTAGATTAGGTGACAAGCAATCTAGAAACATCTTATTGATGTTGAGCAATTAAAATAATGATAATATCAGAGATTATCAAATCAAGACAGAGTCAATAATGAACTAGATTACCGCCTCACGGTTGTAAATGGTTTGCATTTATAGGAGCGTTTTGGTCCAAGTGACCACTCAAAAGGCTTTAACAACACAAGTCATCGTTCATGCAGAGGCAGAGGCTTCCATACAAGATGGCACCTGTTGATCAGGAGTGAGAAACATTCACACACACACAGTAGGAGATGCTATAGGGAGTGTTTAGGGTGCAGTATCTTGGCAAAACGAACTTGACATGTTGACCACAGGGCCCAACAGTTGCAGTTCATATTCATGTCCGTCCAAAAAATCACAACTGCATAATTGTATCATAATGGCCACTTGTGTGACATTTTCCATATTAGCATGTACATGTCCAAAAACATCCAAAAACGTCACTTTGATCACCAAAGTGTTATCCGTTCAAGTGGATGTTCATGTCTATTTGAAGAGTATAAGAAGGTGTAACCTATTGCTGTGTTCATGTAATGTGACTGAGAAGCTACACATATCTTAAATGTGACCAAGTGTGAGCAAAGTATGTGACAGTGTGACAATTGAAAAGAATGCAAGCAGAAATTGTCCCCCTTTGTTTCACGGAAACTTCAAAGCCCAAAAGTCTCACACCATTTGTGATGAGCAATCTTAGCTGCATATAGGAGAAGTAATGGACAATCTGTAAAACTCTTCTGCTACGAATACCTAATGTCAGTTGGTAAAATGCAGTATTATTGTAAAGTCTCCAGACATTTTCATTAAAATAATCTTATTCTAAAAGTTACTTCTTCTCTAAGAAGTGCACTCCATCACAAGTAATTACATTGCCATGTACTGTACAGGCACAACGGACAACGTTAGCTTGACATGCTATCAGTATGCTACGTTTTAAAATGGGTGTTAACAAGGGGCGACTCTAAGAGCCACAGACAGACTAAAATGTCTATCGCAGCACAAGCACGGTGTTAGTGGGAGACAAGTCTAAAGTACGTCACAGTAGTAAGTCAAATGATCAACCTCGGCCACATCCATCTCATCATCAAAGGCAATCAGCTGCAAGAGAAGAGGTATAGGGAGCAGAGAGTTAGTGCGGCGGGTTAGTGAGTGAAAGCTCGGTCACCAGAGTGCAAATGTGAAGCGTGACACAAACACAAGCACAACGTAAAGTTAGTCGAGAAGAAAGCATGTGAATATATGCATAAACAAATAACACATGACCTTTAAGGCCATATATATTGTACTATAATGTGAAAATGTTTTACTTTCAGTGTTTTTGTTTATTTAAATATGTTATTTCCTATTTTATTGGAGATTATACTTTAACCATTCATGTTTATAAAATTGTATTGATTTAGTCTTTATTTAATTTGAAGTGGAGCAACCTTACAAACCCAATTCCCCCTGGGATAAATAAAGTATTCTGACTTATGAAGCATTTAAGGTGATGGTAAAACTCAACACACAGTCATTAAATAAATGCGGAGGTCTTTTTTCATGTGTCTGTTTTTTTCTTTATGTCATAAAGCTGCAACAACAAAAGTGGTCGTATGCAGGCGCTCCCATCTCAGCCTTCAATCAATAAAAACATGTTGCTTTGAAGATTAAACAAGCAGGCTGAGGGTTTCATCAAATACACATTAGTTCCATTAGTAGCTAATGAGGTCATTAGTAATCAATGAATGCTAGGTAACATTAGTGTAAGGCATGCTTGATGTGACTGTTGGTGAAGATGTTGATACGAGTTACTTCAATAGATTTCATGTTTTAAAAGTTCCTTAAGGAAGAAAGCAATGAGGGGATGGTCTTGTTTATTAAATATTGACCAGTGTTTGCTAAATATAAAGCTGGACACACACCGGTAGGATTAATACCTGACCTGCTGCAGTGACTTTAAAACTTACGTATGGATCTTTTTTGTGTTCAGGCTCCAGAGGCAACCAAGGAGAGCTCAGTTTCTACCTTTATGTTTACAGTTTTTCTGATCTTAAGTCTTCTAAAATGCTTGGTGCAGTGGGACAGAGGGACACTGTCTATCCTGTGAAGTCTTTTATCTCATGTGGGGGGGAGAATCTAGGCCATGACTACAAGCAGATGATGAAGAACAGGAACACAGAGGGTATTGTACCTTTTCCCCATAGCCCCGGTCTTTCGTCATCATTTCCCTCAGTGTCTGCAGCACTTTGATGCACAGGCGCTCCTCGTTCTCCTCCAGCAGCTGCTTGGTGTGTTTGATCAGCCTGGTCAGGAAAAGAGAAAGAAAAGTACGTTAACAATTGTTAAAAACACACAAATTCAATATTTTGGCCGATATCTGTCATCATACACTGATCTTGTGTTAGCCCAAAACAACAGATTTGGAGCATGAGGTCGTGACATTTTAAAAACACGTGTATATGAGTGAAAGTGACCAAGTGATTAAGGCCCAATCCCAAATCACCACTTACACCCTACACCTACACACTACACACTACACACTACACACTACACACTACACACTACACACTACACACTACCCCTCCGTTTGCGGTCGCGCGGAGGGTCCGCCATATTAAGTGCTGTTCCAAACCAACGAGTGTGAAGCGGTGTGGAGGGGGAGTGGGCTATCAAGCCCTCAAACAGCGAGTCTGCAGCGGTGCTGACCGGAGTCAACGCTGTATCCGTCAGGAAACACGCTGTTAACAAGTAGTTCCAGGCTTCCAGCAAACATCCACTGATAAACTGCGATGTTAACAACCTCATGATAACCTCATATGTTTTTAACTTAGGATCATCTGTGTTTAGTCTAGAAAAAGGTAAATGTGTGCATTTTATTATAAAGTTNCCAGTGCGCCTGCTGCACCCAAGGCAAATCCAAACGCTGTACATCACGTCACGGAAACACGCTGTTCTTACAAACACCAAAACCCAACAGACACCACAAAAAACCCCACCAAAAACCAACAAACCTCGACACAACATACAAACACTACCCAAACAAGTAGTTCCAGGCTTCCAGCAAACATCCACTGGATAAAACTCCCCACCACGAGCGACGAGATGTTAAAACAAAAACCATCATCGATACACACATTCATATTATCGTGATATTCTTTAACTATATACAGCGTATCACATAACTTGTGTCTCACAATAATCATCCGAAATAAGCACATAATATGTGTGCATCTTGACACTCATCACAAACAACAGTTCTCTAGTGTATAACTAATGAATCAACAAACACCCAGAGCGATTATCAAGAACTAAGAAGCTTATAAACATAACAGAGTTTAATAAACTAAAAGAGTTTTACACAAAAAACGCTACTACCACACAATTTAATAAAGACGTTTCATGGAGTTATATTAAGTTATTAATATCCACACTTGTGTCTAAGACATACTCGATTATGAAAATCCGATTGACAGAATACAGTTACGGCATATAATATCCTGATTATCCCTGCGGAGAGACGCGGGAGGTTTTTGGTACACAAGCTGGTTGCTACAGCGTCAATAACTCCCAATTGACATAAACCCAGACCCAACCAAAACACAAACAAACAACCCACTTCATAACTACCACACCCAAGGCCAATTCATACAAGAACACCCGTACTCATACCTGGCGAGTTGGCTAAAAGAAGGAGTTCACTACCGTCCGACGGAGGTTAGGGTCGGAAGGGGTGATTATGGGATTGCGGAGCCTTCACAACAAGCGCTTGCAGTGTTGACACAACTTCTTTCCACAAACGAAGATTACCTCTCACCACACATGGCAACCCCTATACAGCCTACCAACGAGAGGCTAATCACTGCAACAAACAACACCCATCACTTCTACATCTCCAGCCGGCCTACTATTCCACAACATGTAATCCATCAGAGAGCGTTCTCACTTCACACAGAGACAACACCACAAAACCACACGCTAGGAGTAGCAACTGGCTCACAAATATGAAGTTATAATTGTTGCCGACGCCATTTTATGTAATTATAACCACACTCGAGGATTCAATAAACACGACATATATCTCTTCAAGGTCAACTGATCCATTATCTCATCCTAAGAATGTTGTTAAGCCCCATTTCTGAGATAACAATAAAAGCTATTCGCACATGACAATTGTTTCTCAGGATAAACCAAACATATCTTACCTTCTGAACTAAGACCCATATCTTGTTGTCACACTGAACTATCTACGAATCAAACTGTATTGCACAAGGAGTAAGGCATAGTATACAAATCGTGTAGAATATTAACTTCACTAACAAATGTTATGTAACACACAAAAAGCAAAAACAACTGGCTGCCCATACTACAAAACTCTACCAACGGAGCGACAATAATCTATCAAACCTACTTCGATATGAAATCCCTCCACTTCACATTTCTTGCGAGCTTCTGTGTTCTCGGGAAGAGCAGCTCAGTGACGATGGAAGGACGTCCACAAAGACACAGAGAGCATCAAGGCTGCACCACAGAGGCTCAGTCTGTTACTCCAGCGCTGACACGATGTCCTGCAGAGCGGAGGGACACACACAGAGAGAGAGAGAACACTGCAATTACCACAACACTTCGTAATCACTTAACCTGTTGACAGGAAGTAGCCTTAAAGGGGAGTCAAAAGCCTGTTTTCCTTCCATAACATGTAGGTTACCAGGGCTACACATGTATCAACATTTGATCAATCCGCAATTTAGACCTGGGGCAATATGCAAATCAACAAAAGAAGCCCAATTATGTGATGATAAATGATAACATTGGTTGTAGGGCATACCTATACAAAACATGTCTGGTGAAGTTTTTTTTTCAAAATACCAAACAGTTCACCCATTGTAGCTCATCACTCATACTGCTCAAACCCCCTCTTTTGAAGCCCTGTTAAGAAACCGCCCCGCACCGCAGCGGATCTGGGGGTCCTTACGCTTGAAAAAAAAGAAAGAAGATGGAGGCGGAGCCTAATGCCTGATCAGAATTCTAACCGGGAAATAATTTACATTTTGGTTGTGATAAAACGCCATCTGTTTTAAACACGTCAAGGATTATTTCTGAAATAGTAATGGCCAAATGCCTTTTTCTCCTTGCAGGTTTATCACAAGGTGAGTTTTTTTTTTTATTTCCTTGCTTTTTAAAACACAGTGTGCTTCACAGTACAGGTTTAGTCTGAGTGGTTAGCGACGGCTTGCTAAATGCAAACAAAGACGAGATTACGTCCAAAACACGTCAGGCCAATTGTTTCTGATAGTACAAAAAACTTTCTGTGGGTCCGCCGAACAGTCACAGCGATGGATATCTGTATCCGCGTCGTTGGTACACACCGTTTTTAAAAGATTTGGGTACGGAGGAAAAGAGAGAGGGTTTATTTTCTGACGCTGCGTGGAGTTCCCCCGACGCACCGGGGACACATTTATGTATAAAAGACATCACAAAGTGCATTTTGCATGATAGGTCCCCTTTAAATGAAAAATTGTGAAACTGCTGAGATATCCCCGTCTACAAATTATATTCTACAGACTTATAAAAAACAAATATATGTTGGCTTCAGATCCTCTTAAAAAATAAAGTCGCACTATAATAATTTTATATATTTTTTAATGATCGTAAGAATAGTTAAAAAAAAAAGGATCAATCCCTCCAATATCTTGAATCATGTCGTACACGCCTACAATTAATTATCACGCAATATTAATATGCATTACATTTTTAAGATATTCATATTAATATGTGGTGCAGAGATAAAGTTATACCACATTTTCTCTCGACATCTGTACATGCATCTACATTAGACATTGCATGCCAGAAATCCAGGTGCTATTAACGTCATATTATCTTCGAAATTGCACAACGACTAATTAAGAGAAACCGGGGGAGATGCATGTCCAGTACATTACATGTGAACTGCATTTAAAGCAAACCATACGTATGATGCGACCACCACGTCCCACTTTCCCACGCATTTCCTGTCACATCTGGTGCTGATTAGTGTGAAAATGCGAAAATAAGTGAAGGGATATCATGAAGACTGTGATTAAATGACTGTGTGGGGTGTGTGGTGAGTGGCATCACAAAAGAGATATTAGTAGGTGTTGAAAAATATGTTCTAAGAAATGCTGTTCCTTGATTAAAGGCTAAAAAGAAATTCGAAGGAAATCATTTTAGGAACCACATTAACCGCTGATTGGAAATGGGTTGGTTAAGAAAAACTTGGCGAATTGACAGTAGCCTATTACAAGTAGTCTCATGATTGGAATTGTTTCTTTTTTTCAAAACAAAATGAAATGTCAGCTTCACTCGCACTACATAACGTCTCTGTGTGAGCGAGGAACCAGTTGAACCGAAGCAGACGGGTCAGAGATTTCTTAGATTTCCAGTGAGTATTGAGTCACACATTACAAGAAAACAGGGTGTAGCCATGACCGAAAGCAGGATGTATTTAGAAACCACTTCTACAGTATTTTGTTTGCACTGGCACATTACCAACAACAACCACACACACGCAACCCTAACCTACGGATCAACAGTCAACATGTAGAGCTAACTAAGCTAGCCGGGCTAACTCATGATCCTTACCGTAAACATACAAGAAGGGGAATGAAAGGATATGAATATATACATAAAGAAACAATAAAACATATAATTTATATCAACAAGAAGTCTAAGTGTTTCTGTTAATAATGAAAAAGACTGCAATTAGTGAAAAAAGTGCCGAATCAAGTGTTAAATGGAAGTGTAAGATTACATTATTACTTATGTACATGAAGTAGGCTCATTTGTATTGTATATGCATTATGTCTATACACAGTTTTATACAGGGTCATTAGATCTATATTTATTATATACATTTATAATAATAATTTATATTTACAGAATAATAGTATTAATGCGTGATATTTATATATATTTATAGGAATAATCTGAACAGTTTTGAGGGTTTTAATTAGATGTTTTTCCCAGACATGAGTATAAATACAGCGTTATACAATGCTGTGCAGAATGCAGTTCAAACTATCTGCCCTATTTTTTTTATTTTTTTTCAATTAAGTTAAGTACTCTGTTCCAGACTGACAATGTCACAAATGACCGTCTTACCACTCCAGAAAGAACTGTATGTCCTGTTCCACTCTGCCCTCAGACGTGTCGCTTGTGCACTTCATAAAAAGCCATTATTGCTTTCCCTCTCTTCCATAAACTAACCTGCTTTACACATTCAGCTGACAGGAGACACTTTCTACCCTGTATTATTGTGGATTTGTTTCACAAACCCACAATCTTCTTGAGACATGGCAGTTAAATGATATGTCTGGTTAAAAATCTAAAAAGAGAACATTTTATGCTCATCTTCAGGTTCATCTTTGTGTTCTGTGCCTTTGGGATTTTAGCCTTTGCAGACCATTTACATGCACAAAAACCTACAGTATATAACGGCGCATTTCCACTGCAGCGCGTAGCACGGTTTAAGCGCGCCGTGCCAAACCCGGCCCGTTTTTGGTTGCGTTTCCACTAGGCGTAGTTCCGGCTAGCGGGTACTTTTTCACAGTTTTTCTGGCTCTCCTAAATCGTGGTTCTTTCCGGGCCAACAACCGGGCTGAGTATGCTAAACTAGTGAGAGAATCGCTGCCAAGGGGGCTACAACTACAACAAAATGAACATATTTTACCGTGATTTAATTATAATACGTTTCAAAATGATGCCGAAGTAACTACATACTGTACTGATACCGGTTAGTAAAAACCGTGAATTAATGCTTTGACTAGTCTGCAGACAGACGGCAGCGAAAACCCTTTTCAAATGCGTGTTTTCTGAATGGAGATCGGCTAAGCTAACGCAGTATATGCTCCGACCGTCCACACTCACAACAACGGCCGATCAGACATAAATAAACCAGCGACTGTATTCGCCATGACACAGACAGTCTGTGGTTTGTACTTGTTTAACTTCTGTCTAGTTTCTGAACAGATATGTATAGAGCTGTGAGCTCTGAGGGCTAACAGCTAACGGCTGATGTTGGTTTTGTGTTTCTCATTGAAGATGACGTCACGGCTCCGCCTACACTGCGTTACTATAGTTACTGCCCCAGTTCCTAAACTGTAATGGAAAGTCAGGATAAAGTGAGCCTGGGCTACCAAGACCTAACTACACCGTACTAAGCCGTTTACTTCAGTAAAAAAAGTGACATCACTAAGTAAAGCGTGCGCTTCTATTGGCTAGCGCTCCAACACATTGTACGTNTGTATATTTAAAGACTGTTAAACTAAGAAGCTTATAAACATCAGGTTTAAAACTAAAAGAGTTTTACAAAAAAGTAACATAATTAAAGATGTTTGGAGTTATATTTGAGTTATTAATTTACATTTTGTGTCTAAGAAATGCTGATTTGAAATCGTTGTTACATACAGTTACGGCATTTCCTGTTTCTGCCGGAGAGAGGGGAGTTTGTCCCAAAGCTTGCTGCTGTATTTACTCCCTTAACCCTTAATGGAGGGAACTTCATTCAGCTGCGAGTGTGGCTAAAGAAGGAGTTCACTCCGTCACGGAGGGTTAGGGTCGAAGGGGTGATTTGGGATTGGGCCTAACTAAGCTTGTGAGTGTTGACACACTTTTCCACAAACGATGTACTCCACAATGGCAACCCTAAGTAGAGAGGTAATCCCTGCAACAACAACAACTCTTTGTCTCTCGCCGGCTTCCTGTAATCCATCAGAGTTCTTATCAGGCACAACAAAACACCAGGATGTAAGGGAAGGTCTCCCAAATATGAATTATAATTGTTGGAGCCATTTTATGTAATTATAATGAGGATATATAAGGCATATTTTGAGTATGATTTTTTTTAGATTTGTTAAGCCATTTCTGTAATAATGTTTTGAAATGTCTCTGATCATTTTGATAACAGTTTTTCTTGAATAGACCTTTTGTTGTCACTGATTCGTCTGTATTGGGTAAGGCATTTCAAATGTGTTAAATGTTACTTCACTCAAATGTTGACCCTGGCTGCCTCTAAACTCTACCAACGGGCCAAATTCTCAAACCTACTTCGATATGAATCCTCCACTTTCACATTTCTTGCGAGCTTCTGTGTTCTCGGGGAAGAGCAGCTCAGGACGATGGAGGACGTCCACCAGCACAGAGAGCTCGGCCTGCACCAGAGGCCTCAGTCTGTCCTCCAGCGCTGACACGATGTCCTGCAGAGCGGAGGGACACACACAGAGAGAGAGAGACACTGCAATTTACCACAACACTTCGTAATCACTTACTGTTGACAGGAAGTAGCCTTAAAGGGGAGTCAAAAGCCTGTTTTCCTTCCATAACATGTAGGTTACCAGGGCTACACAATGTATCAACATTTGATCAAAATCGCAATTTAGACTGGGGCAATATGCAAATCACAAGAAGCCCAATTATTGATGATAAATGAAACATATGTTGTAGGGCCATACCTATACAAAACATGTCTGTGAAGTTTTTTTTTCAAAATACCAAACAGTTCACCCATTGTAGCCATGCCTCATACTGCTCAAACCCCTCTTTTGAAGCCCTGTTAGAGAAACGCGGATCTTGGGTCCTTAGCTTGAAAAAAAAGAAAGAAGAGGAGGCGGAGGTAATGCCTGATCAGAATTCTACCGAAAAATAAAGTTACATTCGGTTGTGATAAAACGCCATCCTGTTTAAACCACGTCAAGGATTATTTCTGAAACAGTATGGAGCTCAAATGCTTTTTCTCTTGCAGGTTTATCACAAGGTGAGTTTTTTTTTTATTTCCTGCTTTTTAAAACACATGTGCTCTACAGTACAGGTTAGCTCTGAGTGTTAGCGAGGCTTGCTAATGTAAATAAAGACGAGATTACGTCCAAAACACGTCAGGCATTGTTTCTGATAGCAACTTTCTGTGGGTCCGCCGACGTCACAGCGGATGGAAATCGTCACAGCGGATGGAAATCTGTAGCGCTCGTTGTATACCCGTTTTTAAAAGATTTGGGTACGGAGGAAAAGAGAGAGGGTTTTATTTTCTGACGCTGCGTGAGTTCCCCGACGCACCGGGGACACATTTATGTATAAAAGACATCACAAAGTGCATTTTGCATGATAGGTCCCCTTTAA